ATGTCGCCGGCTGAAGCGGGATCGGCCGACGCGGGAAACGCGGCAATCACAATTTTGTGTTTACACACTCATAACTCAAATTGTTACCGGCCGATTTTCAAAATTCTTTAACCATATGATTGCTTGTACATTTCTCAGTCTTCTCACCGAATTTGACGCGAATCTAATATAATCAGCGGTAAGGAGCGCGATGTAAAGACGGAACCGTCCCGCCCCGGCACAGTCTACAATTCAGGCGGCGCGTAACGGCTAGCGCCGGCCGCCGCGCCGCGGCCGGCGCTTTGTTTGACTTTACACAGCTATTACTAGAAAAGTTGGGAACCGATTTCCTTATTTCTTGCACGAGAAGATCCGCAATTCAATTCTGGACAGGTAGCCGAAATTTCACATTAATAATATGTTTGCGACGCGAGTTATTGGCGAAAAACAGGAGGGGTGGGCGAAATCCGCCCCCCCCCCCTTCCACTGCGCGTGTTAAAGTTCTTGGAGCCACTTGTTTTCTTACGTCGCCCCAATGGCCGCGAATACACTTGTGATAACGCCTATCGCAGTGTGTGCATTTATTGTTCATAGTGGTGTGAAATGTGGTTGGGGTACGACCGACAAGCCGTCGGGGCGAATTTCGCACTGGGGTACTCAAAATTTGAAGAATTTAAGACGTTTCCATGAGTTTTGAAGGTATAGATAAGTTCTAAAAATCCGGTTCTCCTTATCTGGGCCATTCTCCATACGGTCCAGGAAATCTGGCACACTACCTTTAACTTGCTTGGATAAGGCCGATTCTCAGTCCATTGGAGGGCATCAATTGTCGATTTTGCTCGGTTATTCTCAGTCAGAAAATATTTCATTTGAAATGTTCTAACTCTACCTTGCACGACCCAGAGGAGTCAAGAAGCGCATACAAGGAAACAGTGGTGGGAACTCGTAACTTGACCCCGACTTCGATAACGATAATTCGATAACCTTTTTCGAGGTAGACGACTTCGATAACGATGAGTCGATAACAAAATCGGTCACTTCGATAACGCGATAACGATAACGATAACTTCAAAAAAGAAAGAGATCGAAAGGATAAATTATTTGAAAGGAATAAGCTTCTAAATAATATTTAACCCATTTGCTCATACAACACCATTATTATCCAGCTGCTTACACAAAAGGAAATCTTTGAAGAGCGAAAATTTTAATTTTTTTCTCGTACAGTATGCGAAGCAAACAAGCCATATGCACACTATGAAGACCTATCTGGATATATTGCACGGTGCCAGACAACTGCGAGTCCAACTTCTTGGCCACTGGTCGGGACGGCGTGTCCGGGACCGGTGGCCTTACGGAAAGCCAGGGAACTTCGACGGCATGTTGGTCAAACGGTTGGCCAGCATGTCGAAGAAGTTCCTGGCTCTCCTTGCTCGGGCCCTTCTAGGCAGCGTGTCTCCTTCCTCAGGGGTCTCGAATTGAAGAAGGTGCGCGTTTCCCTTAGTCAGCAGCACGAACCTTTCAAAGTTCAAAGATGTAGTAAAGGTGCTCCTCTTGGGCTTCAGGATGTCTGAACCCAAAGAGAACACCCTCTCCACCGCCGCTGAGCTCGGAATGGCCGTGTTGTAGCGCCTGAACAAGGTCAAAAACAACTCCTTGTAGCGCATGGGAAAGAGTCCACGACTCCCATGGACTGCCCGCCGGAAGACCATGAGTCCAGCTCTGTCACCACCCTGGCGTGGACGACGCGGCGAGTAGGGGTGGCTGGCGATAAGGAATAAGGATTTCTTGCCTTCTTGGATGAGGAAAACATGATTCCCTAAAGAAGGAAAACATTCGTCGAGAAGCTTGAATATTATGGGGACAGAGCTTGTTGGGGCGAAAGACGCTCCAAATACAACCTAGATTTGGCTCCTTGAGTCTCTGCCCTTCCCCCCCCCAGTGAAAATTCCTTAGACGAGGCCCTGAAGTTAAGAAACGCAAACCTTTAACCCTCGCCTTGGCAGGGGGGTCGATGCGACCCCCCCCCCCCTAAGGTTTCTCGAAGATAGCGTAAAAACGACGTCGCGCAGCGCCGCCAAATTTGGCACAGCCTATGCGGCAACCTTTTTACATATAAACTGAAAATTTCAAGTCCCAGTGACCTTGGGTCAGGTCACCAGGTCAGAAAAACCGGTACAAGGTCATGGTCAAATTTCAATTTTCTTTTTGCACCTGTCCATTTGTCCAACTCACAGTTTTGGACTGATTTCCTTCAAACTTTCAGGATGTGCTAAGTTCACCGAGTTGTATAACATATAGTTCGGGTTTTTTGAGGTCACTGACCTGAGGTCAGTTAGAGGTCATTACGTCGTAATGTTAAACCTATGGCAAAATACTAAATTCGGAAAATACTGGTTTATCCGCTTCAATTCGGAAAATACTGGTTTATCCGCTTCGTTCTACCACTTTTGTGCTTTGAAACCACAGTACTTAACAACAGGTCACTAGGTGCTTCTTTGTTTGGTGTACTTATCCATGAGTCAGGTCAAATGAGATCAACTGAGGTCAAATTACGTTTTTGCCAATAACTTGGCACATAATGACGCTAGAGCTTAAAAATGGTGTCATTGTGTTCCTTGTGATCAGCCGAATCGAATGATATGCGATATGATGCAATTTGGTTAACTTGAACTTAATTAATTAAAGTTTACTAAAAAATTAAGAGAAACTTTAAGTACACTTAAGCAAGCTTAAAAGTTGACCTGTTTTTAGCGAAATTCTTATATTTATACCCCCCAAAACCCCCCTAAATATTGACTTAGAGCAACCAAATTTGCACAGGGGCGAGAACTCCAGGGGGCCCACCTACCTACCAAATTTGGTGTTTCTAGGTGCCATAGGAGCCAATCGCGAGGGGGGTCGCATCGACCCCCCCCCCCTGCCAGGCCGTGTTATGAAAAATGCCCTGCCAGGGCGAGGGTTAACTGGACTTCTGACGTCACTGTGATAACGTCGCTGTGCCATCATTTCAAATGGGATCGACACGAAATTCAGACAACACTTCGGCAACCCATTCAGGAACATGTGTGCGACTTCTCGCTTCTCTTTCTCTTCACAATGCAACGATATCGTCGGAGAAGTAAAGAGGGCATCTAGTTGCCCCCCCCCCCCCCCCAGTGGCCCGCGGGCGGCACGGAGGCTCAGCGGCCGCCAGGCTATGCAGGCTGTGGTTTCACTCACCATATCCCGGCTGTGGTTTCACTCACCATATCCAGACTGTGGTTTCACTCACCATATCCCGGCTGTGGTTTCACTCACCATATCCCGGCTGTGGTTTCACTCACCATATCCCGGCTGTGGTTTCACTCACCATATCCCGGCTGTGGTTTCACTCACCATATCCCGGCTGTGGTTTCACTCACCATATCCCGGCTGTGGTTTCACTCACCATATCCCGGCTGTGGTTTCACTCACCATATCCCGGCTGTGGTTTCACTCACCATATCCCGGCTGTGGTTTCACACTGAAAACTTTTTTACCATTTTCTGAAGGGTAAACCCGCCATAGCATGGTAGCTTGACACACAGACGTTTTTTACCACCTTCCAGATGGTAAATTTTACTCTTTCATGAAGAGTAAACTCGCCAGGGATGGGTAACATGACACACAGACGTTTTTTACCATCTTCTGAATGGTAAAATCTTTTGATTTACTCTTGTCTAGAGTGTAACATTTTTTGGGTTACACTCTTTGAAAGGGTAAATCTTTAACGGAACCCTTTTTTAGGGAGTAACGCATCATCTACTCTGTGCTTTACCCTCCTACAGAGAGTATATTCTTATGGCCTACCCTTTGTCACATGGTAATGTTTACTCTTTCCTTTAGTGTAAACCCCCCAGAGGATGGTAACAGACCCACAGACGCTTCCTTCAGAAGCTTCACGAAGCTTCTGTTAACCGGAGCTCACCAACTAAAAAAAAAAATGTTTCAAGAGCAACAATGTAGGTATATTTGGCTTCCATACAAACAATACGAGGGGCACACCAACCATGAACATTGTGAGACTCTTCACTTATTCATACAAATTTATACAAAGCGTTCAGCAATGCTCAAGCGGTAAATAAACACCACGATACAACTTGAATGCAATTTGAATATGAATACGAGACATTCAGCGACCTCATATTGGATTAGGCAGAGCGCACAATATTTGAAGTGAGCGACGGCGTTCCTGGGTGGTCGCCCGTCTGCGTGAGATAATGAGACTGGATCACTACAGTGCAAGGCTTTTTCAAAGTCACCAACAAAATGCATACACTTGTAGCATCACAACAAAATTAATGTACGTACTCACAACACTAGGCCACGTGGCCGTGCACGGGGTCCTGTTAACCAGGTCAAATTAGCACCACTCAACGGCACGCAATGCTCTAGCACATCAGTACTTACAATAAAATGTCCACAGAGGCTCTATAGGTGATGAACAACACACAAGCACAATCACCAACGGCCACGCCGCGCGGCACCGACACTGCTCACATCCGCTCTCGGAGACCAACGGCCGAAAACTGACAGGCAATTCCTGGCGCGCGGCCTTCAAACCGCAAACGGCCGATCTCGTTTCTGATTGGCTGATTGTTTCCATTTCAAATATCATCTTCACGAGGGTAAACAAGATCCACGCATGAAACGACTATCTGTACCCGAGTCACGATACCCAGGAGGAAAGAGTTTTCGTGATGTTCTGGATCGCGAGAGTAATATTGATATTTACATGGTAATAATACTCTTCGCTGGCGAATAAGTTCATATTAACCACGTACCGTTACTATGCACATAATGGTAGCAGCGAGTTACCCTTTCAATATACTATTATCTTGCGGGTTTGATGAAAATGAACTCTCCAGGAGGTAGTAAAAAAGTTTTGAGTGCACTCACCATATCCCGGCTGTGGTTTCACTCACCATATCCCGGCTGTGGTTTCACTCACCATATCCCGGCTGTGGTTTCACTCACCATATCCCGGCTGTGGTTTCACTCACCATATCCAGGCTGTGTTGGAGGCAGAGCTCCCAGGTGGCTATGGTGATGGGACGCCGCGCTGACGCGATGACGACGTGAGCCGCCTCTGGGTCGGTGAAAAAGTTGAACTCGCCGGCCACTGTGGTGTTTCCCAGACCTGGCCGACAGGCAGCAGTGGCCGGGTATTGAATGATTGCATGATTGTATGATTTATTAGTCACCAACAGGTAAAAACCCAATTACAGGTGAAGTCAACCCATAGAAATAGCTACAATGACATGAATGCGCAGTTATCACAGGATACACAATACACATGATGGATACAGATAACACTGAGTGCTACGGGCGCGTTACACGCAGACCCCAGTAGGGCACGGGTTTTAATGAACAATATGTTCTACCAAGACACGCTAGAGCTGCATCTTTTACTCTGTCGAGCATGCCTCATAGTCATGTAAATGCTACACTGACTCAGTTTTACAGACCCAATGGGAAAGCTGAAGAGGGAAGCAGCAACATTTTCGTCAACCCTGGAAGTCTGCACTTAGTATTAGCTTGTGTCACGTAGCACGGGATGGGTTATTCATAGCCCCTCTCCTCTCCTAACTCCATAACTATGGGGCTGATTGTTAAAATACAAAGGGCGGCTGATAACCTGGAAATCTGTCGAGCGAAACCTAATTTCATTGACCTCGAGGTCACCGATGACGTCATAGGTTAGGTCAAAGAAAATATTATCAATGTGTGGCTTGTTCACACTTTGGGCTCTGGCCGCAGCACACTGGTCGGAAACGCCCTCACGAGAGGCCACGGACGATTCCAGAGTTTCGGATTATTTTTTATATAGATCGATTTGAAATTGATCAAATTATTATAATTAGGCAAAAAAACTACTCCAGGTGACCAAAAATAACTGAAATCAGCCCCCAAAGATGGGGTATCCCAGAACTCGGAAACCGACGCGGAGCAAGAGGTTTCTTGAGCCGGATATTCTGAGTCTTATTGCTGATAGACACCAAATGGAAATCCCACATATTATGCATCAACATGTTCGTTATGAAGTTGCCGATTGATTGTTCGTTATGAAGTTGCCGACTGATAAGTGCAAACTTTTTTGTACACTTTTTCCTCAACTAAAATTTACTGTAGCTTTTTATGAAGGCTCTCCTACAGTGAATCTGGAATGTAACAGCAAAGTTTAGGTAAGGAAACAACAGGTAGTTTCCTCTAGTTCCATTCTGATTTTTTTTTAGATGAAGCAGGATTCAAATTTACACCAGGGCAACATAAAAGCTAATTGCGCATATTAGTGCAAAATTTGCAGGAGCCGATATTCCTACCCAACTACCGCCCGCCCCGGCCCCAGTTTCGGCTCGGCCGCCGCGCCCGGCTTACGCTGTCTTGTGTGGCCTGCACGCATCCATGTGTAGTTGTCAGTTGACTGGTCATTAAAGGGACCCTCCCGCCTTAACATTAGATTTGAGTTGAGATAGCCTAAATGGGGTCCCTGGCTCACAATTACCGGTTTCGGCACTCACAACACCGAGAAATGCCTTAAATCGGAAATATTGAATGTCAAAATTGCAGCATTTTGATTCAGAGGGGCTAATGCATAGGAATACCCCTCTGAATGTGTGACATCAGCGCAGATATCTAACGATTTTTAAATGTTTGACTATAAAACGTTTTGTAGCACGCGGTGTTATATGCTGCTTTGCGCGCAACAAGTGCCGCACTTTCAGCTGCCAAACTATTGCTTCCAAATAAAGTCGCTAGGAACAGCGGAGATCCCAAAAAGTAAACAAAAGTAAAAGTCTAATATCTTGAAAACCGGTGAATATTTTTAGGTGAAATTTGGTAGATATTCGTTTTCGCTCTTTCTGAACCGAGCGACATCACTTTCATGCCAATTCATAAACTTTTTTGAATGTGGGAGGGTCCCTTTAACCCGCGCCCTGGTGGGGGGCTATTTTCCCCCCTCCAGACTTTTCGACCCAGCCAGCCTTCAGTGGGCACCAAACTGGGACCCATCTGGGCTGCCCACCTTGGACCCAGATTGGAATGTCACGGGCGTCCAACTGGGTCCCATCTGGGCACCCCAGACGGGGCCCATGTGGGACCCATCTGGGGCCGTATTGAGCCCGCATATGGGCTTTCCTGCAGTTGGGACCCACATGGGCAGCACCCAGCTGGGATATATGTATATAATCAATACAGTTCCTGATTCAATCAAGAAAACTTTCAACAAGATACAAAAACTTAACAGAAAACTATCTAAAGCCAAAACTGCGGTGCTGTTTAACGACATATGCCTCAAAGAAAATATCCTGCCCAAATACTCTGATATATATATATATATATATATATATATATATATATATATATATATATATATATATATATATATATATATATATGTATGTATGTTGTATATGTTACAGGCCGTATGAAAACCCAGTCCGTTTGCAAACGGCCTGGCCCAGTCAGGCCGTTTGAAAACGGCCTGAAAAAGCCGGCCGTTTGCAAACCGCCTGAAATATCAGGCCGTATGAAAACGGCCTAGGCAGTTTAAAACGGCCTAGACAATTTGAAAACGGTCTAGTCAGTTTTCAAACGGTCTGGCGAAGTACAACAGCCTCTGAAGATGACTTAATGGATCCAGGTTGGTCGATGATCAGGTTGTATCCATGAATGCTTGCGCATTCTGCCGAATGACTCGTCTACGTCCAACATTTTCTTACTGTGCAGATGCTCGGCCCGGCCATTTTCCCGACAAAATTACTAATAATACAATTTCTCGGTCCGCCTGTTTATCCAGGGGTAGCCAGTAACAGTTGGTAGCATTAGGCCAAATGGGCGCTCAAAAACTACTACCCCATAGGGTTTCCATGTTAAATCGACCTTTTTCAAGCGAGCCCCACACGTAACCTAAAAGATAAAGTGCTGATATTATTGTGGGGAAAGGTAGCCTTAAGCGTCCTCTACAACCTTTTTATCTAGCGTTTTTCGATGCGGAGGTCATAACAGGTCCAAAAAGCATTGGGCGCTGCCCGAGGTACCAAAAGCCCCTCCATGAGAGCATAAGTTCCTGGGCATGCGCACATTGCCGCAACCCTGTACTAGCGTAAATTAGCGATACTGCTCACGGACTCGATCAGCCAATCAGCGCCCCCAATTACCTTAATAGATGTCGCTAGCATCACGTAAATCCTGCTTGCGAACACATTTAACGAATGAAACAGCTGCGCCATTTCCGCCTTCTATTGATTCCTTCCATCTTAGTATCAACTATATGCTTTTCAGCTAACTTTAGACTAAGTTTTAAACTATGGTTAGTATGTTATTTCTGGTACATATAATAAAAAAATAACTGCTTTATGAATTTGGCTTTACTCTTCAGAATGGAATACTCTATTTTTTCGGGTGCGTATTATTTAGGCCAGGGTTCATAATGTCCAGGGCACAATGTGTCCAGTGCTCGAATTGGCCAGTGCCTTGAATTGGCCAGTGTTCACATTGTCCAGGGATTACATGGTCCAAAAGTGGCCAACTGGCTGCAGATAGGGTAAATTCAAAGAGGCCAGGGTTCATAATGTCCAGGGCACGATGTGTCCAGTGTTCAAAATGGCCAGGGTTCATAATGTCCAGGGCACGATGTGTCCAGTGTTCGAAATGGCCAGGGTTCATAATGTCCAGGGCACGATGTGTCCAGTGTTCAAATGGCCAGTGCCTTGAATGGGCCAAAGTTCATAGTGTCCAGGGATTACATAGTCAACCCAACCCAACCAAACCTAACCTAACCTAACCTAACCTAACCTAACCTAACCTAACCTAACCTAACCTAACCTAACCTAACCTAACCTAACCTAACCTAACCTAACCTAACCTAACCTAACCTAACCTAACCTAACCTAACCTAACCTAACCTAACCTAACCTAACCTAACCTAACCTAACCTAACCTAACCTAAGGTAATGATGTTTGCCTACCAGGGATAAGGAAATAGTTTCTCGCATGAATAGATTGCAAGCAATAGTAAATCAAATATTTTTAGGTTAAGTGGTTATGCATCAGGCTTCAGGCCTTCGGCCTGAAGCCAGATACATAACCACTTAACCTAAAAATATTTGATTTACTATTGCCTGTAATCTCTCCTAAGGCATTGCCTTCGGCACTGCACTGCTTTGCATTGAGCTGATTCCGTGTTTTTTACATAATGACGTCACTTTCAGTGACTATGTAATCCCTGGACATTATGAACTCTGGCCCATTCAAGGCACTGGCCATTTTGAACACTGGACACATCGTGCCCTGGACATTATGAACCCTGGCCATTTCGAATACTGGACACAGCGTGCCCTGGACATTATGAACCCTGGCCATTTTGAACACTGGACACATCGTGCCCTGGACATTATGAACCCTGGCCTCTTTGAATATACCCTATCTGCAGCCAGTTGGCCACATTTGGACCATGCAATCCCTGGACATTATGAACTCTGGCCCATTCAAGGCACTGGCCATTTTGACACTGGGCATAGCGTACCCTGGACATTATGAACCCTGGCCAGAATGAATGCTCCCCATTTTTTCCATATAAAAAAAATATATCACCTACCCTGTAACTTGTTCAGGTAAAATGGGCGCTTTCCGCGTCGTTGGTGTACCCGTTGTTCTATATACCCTGTGTTTATCGGCCATCCAGTTGATGGAGCCTGGTGAAGCCACCACAGGCAGTACGTAGGGCGACGTAAGCAAATTGTGTTGCTGATGCACTTCTGCTTTTTGTTTGAGGATGCCGTTTCGTATTTGTATGTATGTATGCATTTATGTATGTATTGACACCAAAAGCCTTCCACATATGGCGTGGCGATTACGGCTTCCACCGTAATATTTATTGGTGTGTGGGGAAGGAAGGGGAGGTGGACGGAAAACTTCAGGCCCGTTTGGAGAGGGAAAAGGGCAGAACCCTGAATATAAACGATAGAGTGGTTTAGTCAGGGTAGAACCAAGACAAATGAAAGTAGGGGTTATGGTAGTGTTGTATGAGAGCTGCATCATATCCCGGTCCTCACCGCGCCCGGTCGACCGCCGGCGGCTGGCCGGTGGCGTACGCCGGCAATACTTGACTATTGCGGTGGAAGGCGAAACTGAAGT